TGCTTCGCGTTGATGGGAATGAGAAAGATGTAACAAGAACAAGAGGGATGTCGAATAGACCAGAGAAAGAAAACGGAGAAAGAAAGGGAGAAAGAGTAAGAGTAAGAGGAAGAAGAAAAAGAAAAAAATGCATGGAGGAAGAAAGAGGGAATACTACGAGAAGAAAAAGGGCGACGAAGATAGAGAACGAGAGATGAATAATGGGGAGTGAGGGGGAGGAGGAGAAATACCTAGAAGGGCGGGCAAGGAGACACTCCGACTTAAGGGATGCAGGCTGCCACGCGGAGAAACATCGGGATGTTAGAAAGGTAGGGCGAGAAAGGTGGAGCGGGGGTGATCTGCAGGATCCGGACTCACGGTTTGTGTGTAGAATGTATAGATATATATCCGCGGGCCTATAGTCACTTTTATAATCCGTTATCGTGATCAAGTGTTCCGCTCGATTTTCTTTCCTTCGATCCTCTTTCCTTCCAACTAATTCATCATCTCGAATTCTCTCTCTTTCTCTCTCTCTCTCTCTCTCTCTCTCTCTTTCTTTCTCTCCCCTCCCCCTCTTCCTCTCTTTCTGTCCACTGTCTTTCCTCTTTTTTTTCTTACATTACATTATCTATGTAGTTTATTCGCTCACCGGATCGTTGATTTCCTTTAATCTAGTTTACTGGGTACAATATTGTATACATATACATACCAACCGTTGCCATCGTTAGTACTTGAATAATGTTGGAATTTAACTATAAAAACTATAACTGAAATTATAAAATAAGATAATGGAGTTGATGTACTACTTCGTACAGCAACTCATTACATTATACAGAAATACATCTCGATGCAGAATTCCAAACGTTGATTTTGTAATATATAAGGTGTGGTTCGATTTATGATTTAAAATCCTAAATTTCAGAGAAACCGTTAATTGATAACCACTCTTCATACAAAGAATCGAAAAATAACAATAAATCAATCGCATAATATGAACACCATTTGTAAATTTATAAATAAGTGATATAACATAGCATCATATTCAAAATGGCATATAAGATGTCTTGAAGAAATGTTTTAAAATAGGCAAGATTTACAATATAAAGTTTTCCTCGTTATCCAATTCTTAATAAATGATTTTTAACTGAAATTTTTAGTATTTTTCATACGGCTTTAGAAATTATTTAATATAAGAAATATTACACACAAACACAACACACACACACACACACACACACACACACACACACACACACACACACAAACGCGCTTTCAGAGATTTAATGCAACTCAAGAATGTAACGAATGCACTTTATCTTGAAGTCCTATAAATCTAAAGATAGCGCCAAATGCATTGTTTAGCGCATTGTCACCTATTACCAATGAAACCTTCTCTAATTTTTACTGATATTTCAGACTAAGAAGAAGGCAACTCGTCCGTCATACGATAAGGAACTTTGTCTCTCCCTGTTCTTCGCTTCTTCGAGAAAATACTTGTACTCGTTCTTATCTAAGTCCATATAAAAGTCAGTCCAAACAGACTTGCTTCATGTATTTCATAGGATTCAATGAAAAGGAACAAAATGATAACAAAAAAAGGAACATGATAACAAAAAAAATATATCGAATTTCTGTATTGTACATATAAATCACTTACATATTTTGTTATATTTCTCGAGTAACAAAATAAATTCTTCAGATTCGTTCAAACTTAAGATTTGAAAAGAATGAAAAAAATCGAGATTTGACTTATTTCTTGATTGACTTTTTTAATCTTGATTTTTAATCTTTGATTTCTTTACATGCACTATTTATTGATCGAATTAAAGTCACAAAAGAAAATAATATATTGCGAATACGAAATGTTAATAAGAATTTAATTATCAATTTTGATTTATTTATTGTTTTTAATTTACCGATCACTTATCGTTTCTAACTCTGACAATGACTGACTCATTATTTCTAAATATCATCACATATGGTTATTTTGTCGAGAAACTTTTGTCTGTGTGTGTGTGTGTGTGTGTGTGTGTGTGTGTGTGTGTGTGTGTGTGTGTGTGTGTGTGTGTTGTTTGTGTTTGTGTGTAATATTTCTTATATTAAATAATTTATAAAGCCGTCTGAAAAATACCAAAAATTTCAGTTAAAAATCATTTATTAAGAATTGGATAACGAGGAAAACTTTATATTGTAAATCTTGCCTATTTTAAAACATTTCTTCAAGACATCTTATATGCCATTTTGAATATGATGCTATGTTATATCACTTATTTATAAATTTACAAATGATGTTCATATTATGCGTAGAATATTCAAGAATAATCTTGAAATAATTGAATTTTTAGTACATAAAACTTTTTTTTAGTAATCTGTGTATATTTATTTTCAATTATTTTGTCAAATAAAATTTTCGTATTATTTCAATAAATTTATAAGTTACAAAAGATTTCTGTATGTAAAATATACTAATATAATTAAAATTAATTAACAATCATGTAATAATATAATTACATTTGGAAGCAAAAGATAATTTTAAGCAGAGATTACGCACGCGCGCCGCGCGCGTTTATTATCTGAGAGAAATAAATTGAAATTTGGTAGACTTGTCTCTCGAAGGATGCAACACAGAACATTGAATCACATGATTAATATCCTGCGTTCTACTGCGATAACGTGCGCGCGCATACGCCATTTGTTGTTGCGCGATATTAGAAAGGTCATGACCCGAGGATAGAAGGAGGAGCGAATCCCGACATTTATCCGGATATAGAAAAGCCGTGACACTTTGTGCGAAATCATCAATTATATTAATCCTCGCACATATCGAGCTTCTGGAATCTTGAAAATCACGATATATGATCCTGATTGATAAGAGTAATTACGAATCACTATATCCGTATCTTTGCGTTGACAAGGTCGCGCGTAATAGTATGATAAATAAAATATAAAGTTGCATGCACGATACGTGTAAATATTTTTATGAGTAATATCTTCCAAAAAAATCATGATATAACATGTAATATTTAAAAAAATATGTAGTAAAACACGCACATATATTATTTTACATATATTTTTTTAAATATTACATATGACATCATGATTTTTTTGAAAAATATTACTCATAATAATTTTTTATATTATATGTATACACAATTAAAAAAATGTATATTTTATTATACACAATTGATTATGCGTGAATCATATATTTTATATATACATATAATAAACAGGGTTGGGTAAGTTAATGTTTTTTTTTAATTGAATAAAGTTAAAGTTAACAGCTTTACAAAATTAATAAAGTTAAAAGTTAAAAATTGAAGGAATGAAAAATTAACTTAACGTAAATTAAGTCAATATTGAATTAATTTAAGTTAAAAAAAAAATTATTTTTTAGATCAAAATGTCCTAATTTTTCTTAAAATGAGATTAAATAACTACAATATAGATTATTAAGTAAATTAAATTTTTAATTTTTTTATTCACATATGATATAAGTATATAACACATAATGATATAATTATATAAGTTATATAACTTTAAAAAAACAGCCAGCACATAGAGAAGATACAAGATCGATGATTACTTTTTAATAAGTCTTAAGCCATAAGAAATTGATCAATTACAATCGAATATGAGAAAAATATTTGACTGTAATTGATCAATTTCTTATGACTTAAGGCTTAACCTATTGTAGATCTGGACTAAGGCTTATGCGGTGATGCCATAAGGCATCAGAGGGCTGTATTAGCACCTTAAGAAATTACTTAAGATGGTCTTAAAATATGAACAGAATACGCCCTTTATTTTATTATTTTTCTAAGATATTTAAAAGAGATAAAAAAATTTAACTTAAAAAAAGTTAAAAAGTTAACGTTTAAAAGTAACTTAAGTTAAGTTAAAATTTAATGCATTTAAAATTAACTACGTTAAGTTAACTACGTTAAGTTGTTAACTTTTTAACTTTTTTTTTAACTTTTAACGTTTTAATTAGTTAATATCCAACTCTGATAATAAGATATATTACAACTTTTTTTTATACGCAATAATATTTGCCAAGAACTAAAATACTCAAATTTGAGTAATTATATCTTTTGCAAGAAAAATTCGCTATAAGATTTCATAAAGAGATTGATATGCAATATTGCATTGCATCCGATCATTTTTCACGTAGGTATAGAAAATCGAGCATGATTGCTTTTCGTCATAATCTTCTCGGAGATAGAGAGTAAGAAATTGGCAGAAATGTCCTAACAACTTATTTTGCCTCGCCATAAATATGCAACCGATCATTTCTCACGTGAAATGTCCCCATTTGTGGCCTCACTTACGAACATTATTAAAAGATAAGCAAATAAAAATTTTTTTTTGAATTTTATAATGTTATAATTATTCGTGTTTACAAAAATTAATTTATAAGTATCACAAATATAAATTTATTTTAATTCATATATTGAAATATTTTACAGGATGTACTTGCAAGTACATATACGTTGCATTAATATAAATATTAAATAATTAAATTTCTTCTATAAAATTTTTGAAATATATAGGCACGCGCACATAAATGTATATTTAAAAAAT